GAAAAATATTGTCAAATACCGTGAAACTGGTGAAAATGTTGAAAATACTGTGATATAAAATTTTGATCATATCGCCCAGCTCTAATAGAAACTAGACAAACAGAATGCTTTGAACAAAGACTAAWCCAAATTTTAGGGCTGTACTGTTCTCATCCAATTTCAAATTAAATTTTCTATTTTGCATTGCTAAACGAAGTGCAGAATTGAATAATTTTATAAATATTGTCCAAAAACAACAACAGTATCAAAATTAGATACCACCCCACCCTGCTGTGTTTAAATGAAAAAATAAATACCATAAAGAAATGAAGTTTGGGGTAAAAATATAAACCAAACAGAAATTCCAGAAACAAACAGAAGCTAAAAATCATAAAACTTAGAAACGATTATTTCAAACCAACATTCAGCACAAAAGTATTCGATGAACTAAACCTCCCTTGATGCCAACTGAGCATTAAGGCAGATTCACAATCAGACCTCACACGAAGGCAGAACTTCACCTTCTCCAAACATTCCTGACCTTCTCCTCAAACTCACTTTCTCTACGTTCAGATGAAAATAAAAATAAACAAGCCTTCAAGCTTGTAGCAATCAGCACTCTTCCTTCTCTCCTACGCTCCAATTATCATTCAAACCAGACGACAGGTCCACTGACCCAATCAGAGCTTGCAATTAAAAGCCAGGAGGCCTCCTGATTGGTGGGCTCTGCCTCCAGACTTGGGAGCAAAGGTTAAGCCCCTCAAAGAGTAAGAGGGAAGGGGACAGGCTAATCGAGAAAAAAAATCAGCGGTGCCTTTTCTTCAGCAAACATCTTGCAGACAGAGTAGAAAGTGTGCATTCATACCTGATTGGTGGCTCCATGGGAGTACCATGAGAGTGTCGCTGCAAGTCTCCATGGGAAATGTAGTCTGGGAGCAGACAACCTAGAACACAAACAGGAATATTTTAATGTTTCACTTCAAACATTATCACTTTGGAGCAACCTTTCAGTCACTGTGTTGGTTTTCTGTGTTTTGTTTCAAACAGTTACAGTTCTGTTCTGAAGCCCTGATCCAGCTCACTGTTTCTGCTGTCAACTCCAAAAAAATCATATCAATACACCATCAAATATTTGTGTGACCAGTAATCGTCATTTTTCCATGTAGCAAAACCTGTCAAACAAAAATCCCTCTAAATATCTTATTTTATCTGACTTCAGATGCTGAGAAACACTTCAGGACCAACAAAACCTCCTTAAAGCCCCTGTAAGAACTCCCGGACTTTGAATCTTTGTCAACATTTCTGACGTCAGAGTGGCTTCATGCTCGTGAGCAGATAAGTAGGGCAGTGTGGCCAACAGTTGGAGGAGCCTCCTCATCACCTCCTCCAACACACTGAGTCCTTTTATTGAGCCGAGAGCTCATCAAAGGAGTCTTTATTTAGTGAAGGAGGCCAATGTCAGGACAGTGAGTTAATGTTCACACTTAGACAGGAGAGTTCAGCTCCAGCTGCTGGTTTATACAGTACAAACAGGAAGCTGTTATCGTACCGGACAAAACTTCAAAATAAGAGTTGAGTAATGAAAGAAAATGTGCAGACGACAAAGACAACTGACACCTGTTCAGTTCAGCAGTTGAGCTTACAGATTTTATTTTATTTTTTCATCTTTATGATGCAACAAGTTCATGATTTTAAGAAATAAGAATATTTTTCAACCACAAGTTCAAATTATTATTTTATTTTTATTTTGAGGGTTAAAATTATTCGTGTTAAGCAACCTTTTCTCACATGTAAATGTCTGTAAAACAATCATAAAAATATTTCACCAATCCAGTTCTCATGTTTACTTATTATCCTTTCAAGCAGCCAGACTTTCCCTTTAGCTTTTAAAGTGGTCTTGATCAATATTTCCAGATCAATCCTATATTCTGATAAACTGTTGTCTTTTGTTTGTTCATATAGTTAAAGGGCCAATTTGTTTCTTAGGAATACAGTTCAATTCTATACCATAATACAGGAACTATGTCTCCTTCAGTTATTAAAATGCTGTCTATATGTATAAATCAAAAATAAAATTGACTTCATATTATATCCATTTTTAAACACCTTGAGTTGAACATTGGCCTCTGTCTCTTTAAGAACCTCCTACTGCTTCCGTCACGCCCATTTCTGCATGTCATCACAACGTTACAACCTATTTTGTTGTAATAATAATAAAAAGGCAGCAACACCAGGGGTAGACATAAGGATTTTTTTCAGGCTGTCCAGTGGACAACCTGTTGACAAAATCTGGTTGTCCACAAAACATTTTGGTTGTCCAAAAAAAAAAAAAAAAAAAAACTCAATTAAAATGGAATTTAATCCTATATTGTTCTGTATACAAAGTTTACTGTATACAAATGTTCTCAGTCAGCAGGTTAACAGTTTCAGGAGCTGCTTGATTAAAACTCCTCATCCTCTTCTTTGAAATAGAGCAAAAATCAACATCCAACGACCATAAGCTTTCTGCTTACAGGACAAACGTTTTAATTTAAATAGTAGTATAGCCTACTGTCTACATGACCTTATTAAAGCTACAGTTTAGTGTTCTTAGGACTGAAGATTTTCTGGATAAAGGGGATTTAAACAGCTCTTCTGTCACTTTAGTGTTTTAAATGAGGAGCTTTGATGCATTTATTTAAAAAGAATTATAGCACAAGAAGTTCTCTGCATTGAAAAAAACAATTTATTTTTAATTTTTTTTAACCAAACTGACAAGTTTCTCCACTATAATTGGTGTGTAATGTAAATGCATTGAAACACCTGGTTAAATTTAGAAGATATTATGATTAACTACAAGCACCTGAAGCTGACTCAGAGAACTCTGTGATTTTTAGAGGAAAATCAAAGTCAAACGTAGACACAAGTTTTTTTTCTCCCGTTCATTTTTACAATGACGAACACCTGCTGCTTTTTTCTTGGTTGTCCACCGGACAACTTGGAGGCGGGATCTGGTTGTCCGAAATGAAAATAGGTTGTCTCAGACAACCTAAACAATGGTTATGTCGACCCCTGAACACTATACAATATCAGTCACAGTCGGACCCGGAAAGTACATTTTCTGAAGAACCGGAGCAAGTAGAGAGGCAACGCTTCAGCTGTTTACGTACGTAAGCGTTGGAATTGCATCATCTTAGTGATAATCGTATTAGTCCACTGTTAAATTCCCTTTTGTTCAGAAAACTATCATTCATTAAGTGTCTCACACAAATACAGGGGTGATAGTGGAAAAAAAAACCTGAGCCTGAACTTTTTTCTGACACATATATATGTTGATAATACCAACTAGGGTTGGGCATAAATAATCGTATTGTGTGCAGTTAATAGTCAGTAAAACGTTAATCAATTATTTTTTGGCACTTGACGATTAATATGATTAATGCCACCAGGCAGACTGACTGGAGATTTCGCAGTCAGTCCGCTTGGTGCTCCTCTCCGCTTCAAATATGACGAACATTAAAAAAAGTTCTGTAATTTATTTATCCATCAACACAATTTAAATTTTGATGTATAGCCTGAAGTCTGTAATTTTAACAAAATTTGGAACATATTTTTATGAAGGGCAAATCTTTCCCACTAAATTGGTCATGTGACCAGGACATAAGAGTGTTCAGGGACTCCAGGGGATTAATCGTCAAATTAATTGTTATCGGCTAAATACCACAATTAATCGTGATTAATTTTTTTTGCCAATATTGCCCAACCCTAAAACCAACATTTATTACTACAAAAAAACTCTTTAAAAAAGCAGATATGTACTGAGCAGAGGATTACCTGTGATATATTATGTAAATACAATTATTAATTTAACAACACAACTGCAAAATCACCGTTCCAATGTCAACTTTTATCACCAAGCATGAACAGGCACATTATGAAGGTTTTTATATTTAAAAGATCGATATATGATCTTTGTTGTAGCTAAAAATACTTGAAGATTAAAAACCTCATGACTGATATTTGTACAGACAAACTGGTCAACAAAATAAACAGAATCTATGTGAAAACTGTAATTTATATTTCATATCTAATTTTTAAATACATTACACTTTTCATAAAGTCTGGTTCCAAATACAAACTATTTTGCTCATTAAAATCCACAAATGGCCTTTTTTAAATGGTAGAATAATACAGTATATTATAAAGCTGACATTTATCATGGGGTTTGGAGGAAAAATATCAAAACTTAAAAAGAAACACACCTTTGCTACCCTTTTGTTTAAATAAACATGCCTCTTCAAGCTATCAGTTAATGAATTATAGCTGATTGATCTTATCAATCATCTACTGATTTATTGATAAGCGGCCATTTTCTTAAAAACCTGAGTTTTCTCTTGAATCAAGAGGGTTTTTCCATAGCATGAAGGACTACATATTTTTATAATATACTGAATTAAAAAAAGCAGCCCATCGGTCCTCAAGGCACAATGCCCTGCATGTTTTAGAGGTTTTCCTGGTTTGACACACCTGATTCAGATGACTGCAGTTCAACAAAAGCCTGTTAATCAGTCATCAATTGAAATCGGCTATGTTGAAGCAGGGACACATCCAAAACATGCAGTGCAGTGTGCCTTGAGGACCAGGGTTGAAAAACACTCTGAATAAATAATTGTTGATTTCTCACACATGAAACTTGGACATTTTTTAAAATAAAATATTGTATAACAAAACAGAAATCTTATTAGGCTGCTGAATGGAGGAAAAACGGAAGAAAAATAAAACGATTTTAGATGTAAAAACATTAATTTATTATTATTATTAGGCCTAATAAGCACGGTTCTGAAGCAGGTCTCCCCCTCCTCCTTCCCTACTGAGTCAGACCTCTGGGAGCTGCTCGTGTCCCCACTTAGTTCTGTAGTTTTTGACTGCTTGATAAATAACTTTAGGCTTTGGTCGGGTAAAAGATCGGAAAGTTTTTATTTTTTTGGCTCTAGAGAAGGATGAAGCTGACGGTGGATTGAGGTGTTTATTTCCACGGGACGTGTTTCATGCGTGCAACATGCATCAAACTACACTCAGCGGCCACTTTATTAGGTACACCTGTCCAACTGCTCGTTAACACTTAATTTCTAATCAGCCAATCACATGGCGGCAACTCAGTGCATTTAGG